GTACAACATAAAACATATATGTTGCCCCAAATAATATTTACATAAATGATTTAATAGTCAATAAAAGTTCAGTACAACTCTTTTCAAGTAAAAGGGATAGTTGGAGATATGGGTTCTAGCCTTGGATCTTCTATTTACTAGCTAAGCAACCTTGTGTAAACCACATGGTGTCTACATGTTCCATCAAATTTGGGTCCATTTATAGCAAAATTGATAGAAATCAGATCAAGAAATACAAAGAACGAAGAAGTTTTATTTGAAGAAGAGAATAGCAATGTGAATGGGACACCGAAAAGGTCAGATATTACTCTGGCTGATATTATCTACCATAGCTTCTATCTAGCCTCCTTTACAGCTCAAGGGACTATCTAATAAAGTGTACTTTGTGGTCTCTGTAGCAAAAACAACACTCATAAGGAGTCATCCATGAGCAAGACTAGCTAAGACTTTCCTGTCTTTGAAGTTGAGTGAGAAACCAGCAATTAGCTCCAAATTACATCTCACATAAATTTAAAATAGAATATACATATGGTTTACAGCTCTTACTGAATCCAATTTCATCCTTTAATATGAAGCTTTGTCCTTTCTTGGTTTCTCTCTGGACTTGTTATAGTGGTGTTTGTTTGTTTGTTTGTTTGTTATTTAATATTGTTCTAAGCTAAAACAAATTTAAACATTTAGTAAAACTTTACTGTTCATCATTATTGTTCAATGCCATTTTTAGATTTGAGTAGAAGAATCTATAATAATAAAAGCATAATATGCTAATTAGACCAGAAGTCCTTCCAGACATCCTTCCAGGATGAAGCCAGGGCTGCAGCCACGGAATTGAGGCAGCTGCTGTGGCTGCGAGGGAGGGAGGAGGCAGCTGCCCCCGGCTGCGAAAGCCTATTCTTGCATGAATTTTGTGCATTGGGGCTCTAGTTTTATATATATATATATAAAAGCCAAGTGACTGGAATGATGGAACAACCAGAACGACTGGTCACTATGACGCACTGTGCAGCCAAACAGCTTGATCAGGGCCCTGATCAGCCCCCACAACCACCCACAGCCCTCCACCAGCCAGCCCCATCCCCAATCGCCCCCCCCCCCAATCAGGGGCAGGGCTTGCCGGCCAACCTCCTGTGTCCCCTCCCCCCTGCTGGCCCAGCCCCCATTGGCCCCCATCGGGGCCGGCCAGCTGTACCCTACCCGTTCACAAATTCATGCACTATGCCTCTACTGTGTAATAAACTATGCAGAATCACTGAAATTATACAATTTCATACGTCATTCATGCTTATATATTTTGCTCTTACAAGAAAAAGGGAAATGCTGCACAAAACTATCTCAACTGTTTTTGTTTCACTTTTTTCATATGTGCATGTTTTATTGGCACTCTCTACTTTTAGCTAACTGATCAGTAAGGGAGGACAAAAAGCAAGAAAAGGAAATTAAAGTTGGGTTGCCCAATGTTTTCCTTTCCTTCTATGTCATCATTTTCTGTATAAGTGGTTGCCTAGTGCAAGTAAGGAACACAAGAAAGGATATGGTAGGGATTTGGGGCCATTAGTGTTTCTAAGAATGCTATTGCCTTCTTTCTACATTCAGAGTAAGCTTTGATGCACGTGGGGAACCTTGGCCTTTCATGGCTGTCTATGCCCCTGCTTATTATATACTTATCCTATACTAGCGTGGAGTCTCATGCATTGTGGTTCTACAAGAATTTTGTTCTCATGGGATATTGCAAAAGACAACTATGAATGGAGCAGCAAGGAATGGTGAATGCATATATCACATTCATCTTCTCTCCTCAAGTGCATGCTCCATTGCCCCATGCAACTTCACATATAAAACATAAATTCAGATATATATATATATATATATATATATATATATATATATATATATATAAAATTATTAAAAATTTCAGGATGGCAACAGAATTGCACTGAACCAAGAGCAATGCTCTTCTGAATACAGGGCCCTATATGACAACACAGGTCACATGCCCATAAAGCCAGCTCTTTTGAAGTATCAAAATTTTATGTGAAATGCTGTGACCACTAAAATGAACCAACTTTTCTGGACCTTCTCAGAACCCTTACTATGTCTATATGCTTCAGAATCTCCAAAAGTAATAGAAAATTTAGCCTTCGCAATCTTCAGGAGACAAATTGAGAAAACCTCAGGTGGATCATCCTTTCCCTACTAAACTTCTTGGCTTTGCCACTATGCATTCCAGGGATGACCACAGACTGATTCATGCTAATCAAACATCCCAGAGATTTATGGATGTATCACCCAAGTGTCAATGTGATGGACAATGAAAAACATGACTGACTGCCTACTAGTTCAAATTTCTGTACTGCATATCAATAGATAACCACCCCCAATACATGCACACGCACATACATTAAGCCATCTAATCAGGAAGCTAATTTATAATTGAAAGTTTATTTAGTTAGTGCACAATTTAAACAGAGGGAGACAAATATTAATTAAGTAGCAAAGGTTTTTCCAACACAGATACCTGTAAGTGAACTGCCTATTTCCATTTGTGATCATAAATATATACATTCATTTTATACAGTATGAAAAATATGAAATCACCCATAACCTAACACCTCTGTGCTAGGCACATGGCAACTATGCTTTCTCTGCTCTTTAATAACCATTAGCTTTTTATTGAATATTTTTAACATCAGTATTTTCTGATTTTGCCAGAGGTTATATCCTCTTCTCTTAAGTGTGGTACATTTCTTAACCAATCATTTCAAACTTTATTTCTATCATTTATTTTTGTAAGTATCAAAAATTGAACCTTTTACATTTGTAATACCTTAACTAATAAAGAATTTTTAAAAAATTGAACCTTTTAGGAAGTATATTATTATTTGATTTGTGGCTTGCACGGTAGCTATATTCTACACATAGAAAAATGTTCTAGTTTTAAATATAATAGAAATTGGGTTGACTGAGTACAGACCAAAAATAAAATTCTGTCTACCCATTTTTTAAATAGCCAAGTACAATTCAAAATAAAAAACAGCCTTAATAATTTTTTTAAACTCTTATGTAATTTATTAATTCTACAGTAACTGGACTAGGTAGTAGCTAAAACCTGTTACATTCCCAATGATGCCCAATGAGCTGTGGGAAATAAATAGGTGGATACAGTCCAGTTGACAGAAAATAGTTGTCTGTTACTGACTTGTCTGAGAGGAAATGAACACTTGCATTTATTAGGGACAGAGTATAAACTGTTCTTCACTGAAGCATTTCTAAAAGTTCTATGCTCCTTTGAATACTGATAAGGACTCTGAAATTAAAGGTAAAACATGCAAGTTATCTGGACTATCACAGGTTATTTTATTAGCTGCTGGTATTTTTTATTCCTTATATAATTATGATTTTCCCAGGCTCCAAACCCAGTAAATTCTATAACCTCTATTTCATAAAAAATTATCAACAAAGTAGTATATAATTTCCTTTAAAACGTTTAAATCAGTAGACAATCAGAATTAGTGTGAGTTTTACAGGAGTATGTCTCAAACTTGGCTACATTGGAGCTCTTACAAATAATTATGCCTGGGTCTTATTCCAGAGATTCTGACTTAAGAGGTTTGTAATACCAGCATCTGGATTTTCTTATTTTTTTCCAAATAAAACTTTTTTAAATTTATTTCCACAACCCAACTTCCCTTTCCTCCAGGAACGTAAATTGACCTGGGCCATCAAAGCACAGGGCAAAAGCTGATAAATGACACAAGGCAAAGGGTAATTAGAAAAATAGATTATACCAGTGATGGCGAACCTTTTGAGCTTGGCGTGTCACCATTTTGAAAAACCCTAACTTAACTCTGGTGCCGTGTCACATATAGAAATTTTTTGATATTTGCAACCATAGTAAAACAAAGTCTTATATTTTGATATTTATTTTATATATTTACATGCCATTTAACAAAGAAAAATCAACCGCCCTGACCGGTTTGGCTCAGTGGATAGAGCGTCGGCCTGTGGACTGAAAGGTCCCAGGTTCGATTCCGGTCGGGGGCATGTGCCTTGGTTGCGGGCACATCCCCAGTGGGAGGTGTGCAAGAGGCAGCTGATCGATGTTTCTCTCTCATCGATGTTTCTAACTCTCTATCCCTCTCTCTTCTTCTGTGAAAAATCAATAAAATATATTAAAGAAAAAGAAAAATCAACCAAAAAAAATGAGTTTGCCTGTCACCTCTGACACGTGTGTCATAGGTTCGCCATCACTGGATTATACCTAAGGCTCTCCTAGGGACCTAAATCCTGCACCCCATCAGAGCTCATCGAATGAAACGGAAGACATGAGAGGATGGAAACATGAAACTCCAGTGAACAAAGGGGGAAAGAGTATGGCAGTGAAAAGGGTAGGGTGTGGTTTGCTGGGGAAAGGGGTGAGAAAATAATTTACCCGGGGGGGTGCGATATAATGATATGTGGTTTCAATCATGTCAACCACTCTGGATCTCACTGAAACTAAATTCTGGCCAGTCTGTGGAGGTAGAAATTGGGATAGAAGAAAGTTTGGAAGCCTTCCTTCCCTAGAGGAGATGGTTATTATCCAGCTCTACCTTTTGCCCAGCCTGCCTCCCCTCAAAAATCCTCCAAATTCCATAGCTATAACTTCCATCAGAAAATGGAATTGGAATGGGGAGGGTCGTGAGTCCTGCCCAAATCCTCCAGCCTGGGGACTGGTATGAAGGTTGAAGAGCAGGCAAGTTAATAAAATAAAATATCCCCTCCCTTACTCAAACTCGGTCCCTGGGTGGACAGGAAGGGAAGACTAGGTAGCTGTTATCAGGGACCCATGCAGATGAGGCAGAGCTGGAGGCCAGAAAGGTTCCTTAAGCTCCTACAGGGAAAATTGGGGTCAAGGAAGAGCAGGAAGCAATGCAGAAAATTTTGGGAGCCTTTCAAGCTCCAAAACTTGGACCACCCTCCGCCAGTGATGACCAGAGGGGCCCCAGCGGGTGGTAAGCTGATCAAGGGCACAGCTTGATTTGGGTACCCTTGGAGAACACCCGGAAGAAAGGGAAGACGCGCTCACCCAGAAAGGCAGCTGAAAAGGTGTGCACGTGGGCCAGAGTCTCTGCATTGTAGAAGTCCAGGCGCCCAGCCTCATAGTCCAGGTACACACCAAAGCGCCGTGGTTTCTCATGTGGGCTCAGCAGCGTCCGCTCCGTCGAACTCTGTGCCTGGTAACCGTTGCCATTGGTGCCCACACACCACACTTCCCTCTGGAGCAGGGGCTGCTGGGGTAGGTGGAGGTGGCGGTGATGGCCAGAGAAAGAACTGGCATCCCCGGTGCCCACAGAGGAATCCCCAGAGCCCATCTCCTCATGATGAGATGATTCTCGGGCAACACCCACGGCCCAACCCTGCTGCCCATCCACCTCTACCTCCCAGTAGTGCCGGCCAGAGCGGAAGCCCTGGGCCCCCAGCACGCAGCAGTCGGCCGAGAAACACTTGGAATGGTCAGCAACCTCCTGCCGCCGTTCTGCCAGGTGGACCCACCGGCGATCAGGAGACAGCATCAGGGCCGGGTGAGCCGTGTCGGGGTCCAGTGTCAGGTCCACTCGAACAGCCTGACAGAACATCCGGCTCATTTTCCTCACGATGGTGTCTGTCAGGAAGTCATGGCTGTGGGGTTGACACCGGTCAGGGGACCAGACCTCTGGGGGCTGCAGCTGTATCTTTTCACACCTATTGAAAGTCTCCTTGATGTCCTGAAGCGGCGGCGGCAGGGCCCCCTGCTGGCTCCGTTCCTGGGCCTCATATAGCAGGCAGCTCAGCTGGGTAGCCTGCTCAGCCAGAAGACTGGCCGATGCTTCCGCCCGGCCCAGCTGGGCTTCGCACATCTCTCGAAGGCGGTGCTCCAGCCTTGCCTGCTCTTCAGTCAGAAACCTTGTCAGCCGTCCAAACTCTGAGGCCACAGCTGCCAGCTCTGACTTCATCTGGCTGTTCAGCTTGGCCACCCGCCTCTCCTCCTTGGCTTTCAACTTCTGCACCATCTCCAAGTGCTTTCTTAGAGGTTCCACATGCCCCTGCAGTTTGGCCTGGTACTCCTGCACCACCTCCTCCAATGTCACCACGCTGTGCTGCTTGTGGTCCCAGGATTCTCGGCACAGCACACAGATGGCCTCTTCGTCCACCTCACAGAAGAGCGTCTGGGCCTCTCGGTGTTTGGGACAAATGCGCTGCTCATTCCTATGGCTGCCCCGACCCGGTGTGGGGTGCATATTCCGAATCACCTCCACCATGTTGGCCAGCTGCAGGTTGGGGCGGAAGTTCCTGCTGGGAAAGCTCTTCCGGCACTGGGGGCACGTGAAGCACTGCCGAGGATCTAGACGCGGGTCCCGCAGCACTTCCACATCCTCCTCCAGCACTTCTTCTTCGGCCTCCTCGACCTCCACCCCCAGGTCGTCGTGGTCGTGGTCGTGGTCGCCGTCGCCATCGTCGTCGTCGTCCTCCCTCACATAGTCCATGTTGTCCCAGTCGGACCCGCCCATGTTCCCGGTGCCGAACACTCTTTCCTCCTCCTCCTCAACCTCTTCCTCCAAGTCGCCCTCATAGTTTTCATCCCTCATGGGGGTGTCCCCGCCCCCACCGGCCCCCGCAGCCTCCACTTCCTCCTCTTCTCCTCCATTTTCCTCCTCCTCCTCCTCCTCCTCCTCCTCCTCCTCCTCCTCCTCCTCCTCCGGATGTAACTCGACCCGGCCTCCCTCATCTTCCTCTCCCCACAGCTGGGTCACACACGCTCGGCAGAAGTTGTGCCCGCAGCCGATGGACACGGGGTCCCTGAAGTAATCGAGGCAGATGGCGCACACAGCCTCCTCCTGCAGAGTCTGCACGGGGTTGGGTGCCTTGGAACCGGCAGCCATCTTAGTGTCCACTCAGCTGGTGTAAAAGGTGGGGGGCGGGGGTCTTCCCTCTCAGACGCCCTGACGACCCGGCCCCACCCCCAGTCCTGCCTCTTCACAACTTGCCTCAGGCGCAGGTAGAGAAATGTCCTTCCGTCAACCGACTCTCCACACAGTTCCCTTCGCCGAGACGACAAGCGTGTCTCTGCCACGGGAGACGACACAGAGGACCGCTAGCGCCGAGCCCCTCAGGTGGCCCTGAGTGCAAATCGCCGCCCAACGCTCTCTGGGCCGCCTCAGAAGCCCCGCTCCTCACTTCCTGGCTCCGCCCCCTCACATCCGGTCTCCCTCCCAACACTTCCGGTACCTACAAGCCACTCAATGATCCGCCCCAGAGAGCTCGACAGGAAATGATGAGGAGACGCTCTAGCATTCACTCGGGAAGAGGGCGGGAGGGCTAGGACAATGGAGGTTCGCATCTCTGTGGTGCGGGGGCGGGAGCAATGCAGAGGAAGCGGAAAGACCGGCCACTCCCAGCCCCCGCCCCTGGGGATAAATTTCAGGAGACTATGGAACCCTTCATGGCCCAGCGCCATCCTTCCGGCCCCGCACCAAAGATGGCAGCAAGCACTCCTCACAGCTGATGCCAGAAGCAGAGGGGCAGCATCTGGATTTTCAAAGTTCCCCAGGTGGTTCTAATATGCATCCAAGATTGAGAAACACTATAAAATGAAGAGAATTCAGGGGTCACAGAAAAGCCACTCCACTGCATTACCCAACTTCTTTAAATCACCATCATAACCCCAAAACAAATTATTGATAGTCCCAGAGGTGATGGGTAGCTACTTTACTGCAAGAAATCAGTACAATATTGATTACCTCATTAGTTACTATTGGCTGCTATCATGTAAAGAGAGACTCTTCATGTGCAGATATGGATTATGTAAATGTGTTCGTAAAACAGTAGCATGGCCAACTTCCTCCATCCATCCAGTAGCTCCATTGAGGCACCAGAAACGGTGCTTTAAGTGTGTTTACTTTGGCAAATCTCTGGTAGTATTGATGCCAAAATGTCCTGTTCGGGTCTGAGTTTGTTGTCTCTCAAAATCAAAGAGTGAGTTCACGGACAAAGAGATGAGCGAATGCAAAGTTTTATTAGAGAAGGCAAAGTAACAAAGCTCTCTGTAGCAGAGAGGGGTCCCCAGCAACTTGCTGCTGAAGCTTCTTTGTCTAGGGGTTAATATGTGCCCTGCTAACTTCCCATTGGTAGGTTCAAAGAATTCTGCTCTAGCAATATCCACACATTTTAAGCAGGGTTCCAGCTTATTTACCCGGCCCCATGTGTCTAGCCTAGGATCAGGGCCCTTTGTTCCTGTAATTTTACTAGTAGATGGGACGGGGTATGGTTTCTGCTCCCGCCTGCAGGGTCTAGCTCAGTGATGGCAAACCTTTTGAGCTCAGCGTGTCAGCATTTTGAAAAACCCTAACTTAACTCGTGCCAATATAGAAATTTTTTGATATTTGCAACCATAGTAAAACAAAGATTTATATTTTTGATATTTATTTTATATATTTAAATGCTATTTAACAAAGAAAAATCAAACAAAAAAATGAGTTCACGTGTCACCTCTGACACGCGTGTCATAGGTTCACCATCACTGGTACTAGCTGCACCTCCCGTGTTCCCATCCCTAATTGCCTAGCTGCCTCTAATTCCTCAGTGTTTGCTCTGTCCAGGCTTTAGAAACAAAAGGATTGTATAAAAGAACAACCAACAAAACATTAGATAAACTCAGGGGGGAAAAAATTTTGTGTCATGTGTAAAGTATTTCCTTCTGACCTTTCCCATCCACTCGCCATTCTTCCCTGCCCTATGTGGTGCCCCAGAGGCTGCCCTTTAAGAACTGCATCCCAAAGTTCCCTTGACCTCTCTAGTTTCTCTTTGAGAGACCTGGAAGGAGCTCAGTGGGTGGGAAAAGAATAGAGTATTTGTTTTCCTGGCTCTTGGAGGAGCTCCATAGATCAGCTATGATCCTCTACCGAAGACCTGTTACACAGCTCTCTGTTGCTTCTCTAGTGGTTCTGGCTCTCGATTCTGGGAGCCTCCTTTCCCAGCTTAACCCCTTAGGTTGAAGGTCAACTCTGGGGTTAAAAATCAAGCCTTGTAGATCTTCCTAATTCTGTCCATGTCTCTGCTGATAACCCCTTTATTAAACTTTTCTCAGAAATCCCTTGATTGAGAAACCTATTTTTGTCCTGCCAGGCCCCTGATTAAGTTGTTTTGGGAGAATTTGCACACACTACCCTCTTATGACGTCAATATGTACATTACACATTAACTCACCTGAGAATAACCACTTCTCTTAGTTATCGAATTTCACATTTTTGACAATGTAAACTTTTCTGTGCAACACCGAAACACCCAGTGATCGCGTTACCAGAGAATTAACCTCCCCGGTCACTCGTGGGAGTGAGGTGGAGGTTCTTGGGGCACCACTGAAAGAAGCATTTTCAGAAACCCCCACAGGAGGATGGCATGTGGAAGATTTTATTTGCATTGAGCTACATTTTTCTGAGTCCAATGTCCCATTTCCTCCAAGCCAGTCCTGGAAGGAAGGGTGGCTGGGAGTTCAGCAGAGCCAGAAACAAGGCCAGTGTCCAGAGCTTCCGTTCCATGTTGCAGCCGGGTGTGGTTCAGCTTCAGGCCAGACTAAAGCCTATTAGTCCATGTGTGGAGTCCAACATGGCCAAGAGCCATGTGGGCAGAGGGGAGCTTGCCCCTGCTATGGACTCACAGGAGTCAGGTGCCCTGGAGCTGAGAGAGAGAGAGAGAGAGAGAGAGAGAGAGAGAGAGAGAGAGAGAGAGAAAGAGAGAGAGAAGGAAACTTCCTTTCTTTGAAAGTTTAGTTATTTAGATTTTGGACGCTTGCAGTGGCACCCATCCTGGCCACTGACTTGCTTTGAGGTGTGATTGATGGGCAAACAGGTAGGTAAGTCACTCAGACCTTACTAGGCATATTCTAAACTGCCTTTGTTCAGTCCCTTCCCCCATCAAAAAGCAGGGAACAGACTTGGAGAGTGTTACATGCAGCTTTTGACAAGGCTGTATGAAGCATGCCTATATTATGTGGTCTCCCCTTTCACTCCTTTCCTGTTAAATAATAACCAGGTTATGACAACAGCATTGGTTGTAGAACTCATTTTTTGCAAACTCTTGCAGAACTACTTTATGGAGAAGTAGGAGATTCAAATTATCATAGACAAAAATATCTCAGATACAAGCACCAGCAATGATTCTTTCATATATAGTTTTCTCCCACCAAAAACTAGGACTAGGTACAAGTCTTCTAGGTAACATTTCAGGATTTTACTGTCATAAAGGTTGCTACGGCACCAAAACCTTTGGGAGAAGAGTATCCCCAATTTCTCCCTGCCTACACTTTGGGCCGCACTCTCTTCTCTTATCTAATTATTTGAGAGACTCATGTAATGGCCAGCTAGCTTTTTGGGAAATTTTAAGTCTGGAAATAAAAGAGGAAGAGAAACAGAGTACAAAGAAATGAAGGTAACAATCCTGTGAATTACAAGTCAAGTGGGGTATTTCTGGATGCTTTGTAGAAAGGGTTGCAGGCATAGCCGTAGCTTGTGCTAAATGAAGATGAGAGGTAAAAATTGGGGGTTAAAAATGCTCTATGCCCCTTTATGATGCGTTTAAGAGATTCAAGTGGAGGTGTGAAGTAGAATCTGTACTTGCTGGACTGAGTTCTTTTGACAATACCAAGAATAGAACATATGTGAAACTTTATATGAATTTCAAGAACTTAATAAGATTTCTTAAATCTCACTACTTCCTCTTTTTTTTTTTTTTGTCTATTACTAACGCCTTTCTCCATGCCCACTTCCATTCCCCAATGATTGTTTACATTTAATGCTGCCAGGGAGGAAAAAAAATTTTCTTCTACCCTTCTAGGATATTTGCTTGGTCTAATAGCAGAAATAACATATGACAGATTAAGAGGAGACAAAAATTATGTACATACAGGAACCACATAAGAATATGAGGCCACCCTAACCGGATTGGCTCAGTGGATAGAGCATTGGCCTGCGGACTCGAGGATCCCGGGTTTGATTCTGGTCAAGGGCATATACCTTGGTTGCGGGCACATCCCCAGTAGGGAGTGTGCAGGAGGCAGCTGATCGATGTTTCTCTCTCATCGATGTTTCTAGCTCTCTATCCCTCTCCCTTCCTCTCTGTAAAAAATCAATAAAATATATATATAAAAAAAAAGAATATGAGGCCCAGGGATAAGTCAGGCAAGTAAGGCTTATAAGCCATCATGAGCTAAGGAGAAAAGGTTAGGGGCCTGGGACTTCAAAGTGGAGGAAGACACTTTACAGGAAAATGGGAAGAGCAGCTATTTGGTTCACAAATACTGGTATGTGCCAAGCCATGCAGAGATAATGGGATTCAGAGAGGACTATGAACAAGCAGGCCTTGCTAAGTCCCCCCACAGTCTATCACACTTAGCCCATATTCTATGTAGTTATGTCGGATATCTCTTCCTTCTATAGGCCCTCTATATAAATTCTTGTAGGCAGTTAAGGGGGAGATGAAAAAGAAAAACTTCCTGAGTCTTCTGTTTTTTAAAAATAATCAGCCTAAAATAATCCCCAAAGAGACAGTTTGGAGTGGCAAATTTTGCTCCCCTGCAGTTCTTTCTAGTTAAATCATTAAAATGAGGTTTGTGAACTACTCATAACAGGAAGGAAGTAATGGAAGCTGAGATGATAGTGATCCAGTCATAGCTGCTAATTGATGAAGAATTTCACAGAAAATGAGATTTAAAAAGGTATACCATTTAATAATAGTAGTTGTCTTGAGGGGGGTAGTAATTAAAAAAAATTTGTGTTCTACTGTTCTTTCCAACTTTCTTTAATGAGTATTTATGCCTTCCATGTTCAGAAAAAAATAAGGTTAAAAATTAACTAAAAAATAAATTTATACTGGGCCAGGGAGGGGT